GCTGGGTGCACAAGACGGGTCGCCTTTGCCCGCCAGACACCCGGCAGTGGGACACCCTGGGCACTACGGGCAGAGCCAAATCGAATACATGTTCTTAATACACTGAACAACCAGACAGGCATTCAGTCAATAGATTATCAGGCAAACGTAACAGCTACAAAAAATTGTGCATGACAAAACTGACACTGGTTGAGTGAGTTTTATATGACAAGGCCATGTCAAGACTGAATACCTCCGAAGTGACATGTAAAAGCAAGTGATTTTGTACTAATGTGCCACCCGAATCAAGATATAATATGAGCTATACAACTGATTAGTTTGTCTCCAAATAAATTATTCAATCTTACCAGTGTGTGCTGCCAGCAATGAAAAAACATTTTAATTGTCAGGTTTTTTTAGATAATAACATTAACGAGAAACAGTCAGCTGTATCAGATTGCATTGTGTTTTTTGAAATAGATACATTAAAACACATTTTGTAGTGAGGCTCCATGTTTTCAGATTAAATTGGAGTTTCCAAAGTTTTGAAAACATGATTTTAACAAGTTAACCAATTAAAGCTAATCAAATGGTCATAATAGCTAAATACCAGTTTTGTGAGAGGTAATTGTCCTGACATTTGGTTAAATTGACAATTATTTTAAAATGTCCATCTGCAGTTTGCAGATTGCATGTAAATGTTGTCTGCTCATTTGTTTATTTATTTTTTTAAAACCAAATCTGAGCCAAACTACCAAAGACTAAACTGAACTAGATCTTCCTGTGCCAACCATAACATCATCTGTTGTTATAAAACACCAAACAGATGGCAAAAAATACAACAAGTGCTAATCAACAAATAGTCTATAGTCACATTCTAATCTCAAATCTTATCTCAAATAACTATAGTGAACTGAACATTTTTACTCAGTGTTTCTTTCCACTTCCTTGCACTAACTTATTAATAGTTATTTCTTTGCTGGGGAATGCAAGTAGCAAGTAGCAGACCAGAAAAGTTGCTTTGAGTAGAGCTGTTGTTGTAGGCGTTAATGTGCATGCATCCAGTTCTAAATAGCAATTACGGTGATTGCTTTTCTACAACCATTTTCTAGTACAGCTCAAACAGCACATTCACCATGAATGTTCCTTTTCTCACCTGTGGAAATAAGTAAAGAGACATGACTAATGATAGACCATATGCTTCTCTTCTAACTGCACATTTGGCTGATGGTGTAGCTCTGGTGTGGATGGGGCCTTAAAGTGTTGAAGCAGTGGCAGATGCTGTGGCAGTCTCTGTGACCTGTGCTGACTGATTAAAACTGGAAACAAAGGCACAGCTGAAAGTCCCATTAACACCTCTCAAATCTTTGCAAAACAACAGAGAATTTTGAAACTGAAACCACCCCTATGTGCCACTAGACTGCAAGCCCATTCATAATTCAAAAATATGCTAAATTACAAGAAATCGGACTTATTTCTGCAATGTCTAGAAGGGGAACACTCACTCAACAATGCAACACTATTATTCCGGCACAAGACAGCAGCCAGGTCCATTGTATTGTCCCTAGTCATAACACCTGTAGTAATATAATATCTATGCCCCTGCGGGTTACTCAGAGAACTGAAACCTGACCTGTCTTTATTCAATGGCTGTCTGTTTGGTTTATGGATTATTAATAGCCTATTCAAACATCATACATAGCACATATTACAATAGGTAGTGTGCTCACTTGTTTCTGAAATAACAGAAGCACGTTAGCCGACACTACAGGGTTAGGCGTAGTATAACAAGGGCTGGGGAGCAGGAGGCTAGCACATCTAAATGCAGGTGTGAAAACAGTGTAGCAGACAAGAACCTGAAAAAGAGCTGAGTCGTTCTGATTTCTACTTTGCATATGGTAGGAGCTAGCAAAAAGCTAATCAAACTGCAAAGTTGAGTTGACATGATTGTTCGTTTTAAATATAGCCTCTCACGGATCACATCTACAGCTATTGATTATTGACTTACCAGAGCAGAGGGCACATTGAGCGGTGCCGAAGAGGACAGGCTGCAGCAGCATGGCACTGGCTAATGCTAGTGCTAATCTGCTAATAGTAGCTACAATCTGATTTAGCACCACCTGTGGAGAATGTTAATGACAGTCATTGTGATCATTTAAAGCAGTGTTTCTCAATGCGCCTGATGCTAGGAAATGGTTTATCTATTGTAATGTAATTTTTTTTTTTTTTTTGTCTTTTTAAAGGCCTGTACCTCAACTTCAATTTATAGGCTACTTAGATTAAGACAAATGCTCTTTATTGCATAGTGAAAGCTGTTAAATAAATTGAGACTGCAGAATGTAATTCATTTCACATAACATTTTCTCAGGTAATGACTAATAGGCCTGCAGAAGCTACTGACAGGGTCACCTCTGTCCATTCAATCAGGCACATCATCACGACGAATCCTGGGAAGCTAACTCTCTGACACAGTCTCACACACTGGTATGGTGGATTTTTAAGAGAGATAAAAAGGGAAGCAGTAGACAGATTGGAAAACTCTTAACAGAGCATCTAAATGATACGATCCCAGGCAGCTGTTTCTATGTCATGGGGCTCAATTGTAGAATTATAATAAAATCTGGAAGATGAATCCAAGATGGCGCCGTATTGTTTTCAATGACCTGGCCTCAATGTGCACATGGCCCCAAAAAAATTTTCACTTCCTCATTTACGTCCTCAATAGTGGCTAGCGCCTCCCAACCATGTGATGTCTGTAATGTGTACGGCGTGGAGAGTTTAGACCAAACAAGTGAGAGCTGCTAGAGCGGAGCTAATGCAGGCTCAGAGCATGCTCAGAGCGGGGCTAGACTAACTCTTATAAAGCTATATTTTAGGCACTTTGACGATTTAATTTTTTTTTTTTTAAGTTTATGTTGGGGAAATAAAAAAGAATCCCTACAAAATCCAATCTTTTTGTGAAAGTTGTCAATGCCCTGTCCCCCGAACATGGGCATTTGAATTCCCAAAAAATGCATTGTGCTTCTATGGGCGAATACTTTCTGGGCCAAAACTCCTGGGAGCTGCAGTACCAATGGAGTGACCACTAGTCAGTCTCGAGCCGGGACAGAAGAGGAGTACCTTATCCAGTTTTTATTATAGATCCATGGGCTTAATTCACGCTTACGTCATGAACCAGGAAGATGTTTGGAAACATACAATGACAAGTTCCAGTGAGCTCTGTTTGACAGGCTCTGTCTGACAAAATCTAGGAAAAATGAGAAAATGGCTCAGTTTTCTTCATTTACATGTCATTGTAGCGTTCCGTTATGTTAGGCTAATCAACAATTACAAGATGATTCCAAACAGCACATACGTATACAGTCTTCATTTTATCAGAGTCGGTAGGCGAACCCAATGTCTGGAAGTTGCCGGCTCATGTTTCCAAATGTCGTCCTGGTTTGTGACAGAAGTGTGAATAGAGCCTACATCACAGTAACAAAACAGATGTGGACGGGGCTAATAGTTCAATCTAAAACATGTTCCTGACTCTCTCTCTTATTTGAGATTGCCACAATGCACCAGTCAGCATGGGGTCATCAAAATAGGCAGAGTCTTGACAACGATGCTCCCAGGCAAGGTTAGAACCACTGCTGTTGATGGGCAAGTGCTCAACTCACTGCACCACTGTCACTATTTGAAGGACAATACCAAACATAAACACACATCTCTTTATGTAATGGCTAATTTAAATTCTACAGACCAACCCAGTCTTATGTAGGCTGCTTTCCGGATACATTTTGTCAATGAATTGTACAGATTAAATGTTGCCTGTTGTGTTCACAAAGACTGCTCAAGATAAATATAACTCCCTAAGAATAAACAATACAATGTTTCTGAGGTAATTGAAAAATAAATCCTTGCAGCACAATGCTCGACCGTCCTCTGCGCAGCTTATTGCTTTAGTGGACTTGTGTTTGGCCGAATCATTTGTCCATTTGGTAATTACAAACCAAGTCAAACAAAGCGGACGGCACATAAAAAGCAATGGCTAATACACTCTGGCCCTTGATACAATAAACCTATGTAATCAAGTTAGCAAGATGGCAGCGGTTATTCAATCCGTGGTGCAGCTGCGCGGTGAAGTGGTGGAGCAGACATGTTTTTGGATCTCCTGTCTCCTCCATCTCCTTGTGCTATTGCTCGGGAGCCCTCTGACAGTGCTAAGAAGCTAAACGAATGCACTGGCTAATTAGAACGGGGAACAAAACGGTTTTCAGTCCATGTAGCCATTTCTTTGTTCGGCTACGTCTTCAAGTGCAATGAGCAGCACAATGGCGGCAGATGAGTAATTAGTTTGAGACGGATGGGATCCCAACTCACTTAAGGAATCAAAGGGGAGAGTAGATGATGGATTGTGTGGGTGCTCCGAGATTGTTTATGTGTGAGTTTATGGCCGACAGAGGTACATGTTGACTGTAATCATGTTATGCGGGTCTGAGTGGCAGGGTGAATGCATTAGGCTATTTTCATTTTCAAATGTCAAGAATGGACTATGCACCGTTTAATGAAAGGAACTAAAGCTTGCATTGATAATTCATAGTTACAATCTAGTTCATTTGCAAGAATAGAATACGTAATCACCCATCTCTATATGTTTTTTTTTTTTTTCAGTTCAGAATTGTTTTTTTCCTTCATTATCCTTTGCTTGAGAATGGTACTAAATGCAAAATAAATGTTTATAAAATGTTAAGCAAGTAATAGTTATGTTTCTACCATGGCGCTGACCGATGAAGGCCAAAAGCATGTTGTGAAATAGCACAAAGCTAAATTAGCAAGTGAGTGGGAACAAGCACAAACTCCATCTGGTGAGAAATCCTGGTGTAAGCTAAGCAATTATGAAGTGCAGTTTGACAAAAGACATGAAATGTGGACCCAACATAAAAGAGGGACCTGCAGGAATACAGCTGGTCCACACACAGGTTTATTGTGCAGGCGAGGGTCCAGGGCAGGTGCAAAATGACACACTCATGCAAACACACCTGATGCTAGTCATGCTTCCAGTCTCAGAGCCAAGCTTGCATCTCTCCAGCTGACTGGCAACAATCTGGCGTTCGGCTTCCAGCTCCCGGGTCAGACGTTCAAACTGCAGCTCCTACACAGAAAAACAAGAAGTTAGTTTCACAAAAGTTTAAGCACCATCATTTATAACACTTTTTGTTTCTGCCCAAGTAGATAAAGTAAAACAGTTCACTCCCCACATAGTGTTGTCATAAAACTACTATTTTTTACTTGATTTTGAGAGAGTTTCATTACCACATTGAGAATAGCATGTGATTTCCAACACATAATAATAAGATTTACTTCAATCTGACAAAGTTTATAAAAAGTTTATAGAAAGGTCAAATTGTATCTCTATTTTTTCGATACTTGTTCAAATGAATGCACTTTTGACACAAGTTTGATTGATTGATTGACTGATTCATTTTTACTTCGAGTTTGTGCCAAGAGAGAAACAATAATGATGTATACTACATATACATTGTAAACAACAGAAAAGCACATTTCTTGAAAAGGAGTGGGAAGAAGAAAAACTTATAATAACCCACCCCTATTCATGACATAGTTTCAAAAATGATGTGGTTGCTTCTGTATATTAATCACAGAACTGAACAAATATTTACATGTAACAAAATAAATAACATATTATGCATACAAAATATAATTTTAACCTCAAAACCTTTTTTTTTCATTTTGCACTGTACACACATATATATATACACATACATATACACATTATATACATATTTATATACACATACAGACACGCATACACACACACACACGCACACATATATACATATATACTTTTTTTTTTTTTTTTTTCTCCCAACCCATTCCACAGACTGACCCCACACACAGATACACACATGCTTTTTCTGGTGGTTCTCACTGATTTTGTTTTAAATTTATTGTCAGCTTGTTCCTATATAATTTGTATCTTCTTTCTGAATCCTTCGTTTTCAAGTTTATTAATTGTCTATAAAGATAATTTTTCTTTTTCTGTAACCCCTTTGTTAACAAAGGACAATAAAATTTTCTTTTTTTGTTTCTTCATTGTTGAACAGGACAGTGTTTATTGTATAATGTCAGAAATATATGTAAAAAATTATTGTAGGCTCTATCAACGTTGTTCTCCAAGTATACTGAACTCCAGTCCTGATCCTTAAGGTCTTCATTCAGTGATCTAACAGTTTCATTGGATCGCATTCTTTTATAGACATTGACAATACAGTTATCAACACTGCGATTCTTTTTAACTCTTTCACCACAACATAGGAATGCTTGTAAGTTTCCTAAGTTTAAGCATTACTAGGTATTTGCTTAATGATTTTTTGGACAACCAATCTCACATTTAATTTCTACCACACTTTCTTCCAGAATCGACCATAAACTGCCTCAAAACTACAGGCAACACAAATGAGGTAAATAAGCAATGCGAATATCAATACAGTTACATACACGCATGCTTTTCTAATGTTGTACAGTTCTAATTAGTGTTATTTTGCACATTTTTCGGCTCGCTGGTTCCTGACACATTTTAATTGTTGTGAAATGGACTGTGCAAGCTGTGGAGGGAGTGCATAGCAGATAGAGCAAGGTCTGCCACTTTCACAGAGCCAGACAGAGACAGACAGAGAGAGGAGGACAAGGTTCTGACACTGAGACACCAAACCAAAGCCGTCTAAATGTCAAACTTGTTTCTGTGCAACTGAGATACTCTCAGAGACTTAAGTTCATCACAAGACTTATGACAGACAATGCTGTGGTTGAGTTACTAATCTTACTACAGTGGATGGATTTGTGGCAAGCAAAAGGAAGTAACGTTGATACAGTATATTTTGGAAGACATGTTCTCTGGGTACATTTCCTACTTTTAAAAACTGTATATTATTCATATCACTCAATCAGATTTGTTTGTCCCAGAGGTAGTTATATAAAAGTGGAAATAAAAGTGCTAGTGGCAATATGGGCAGTATCATAGTGCAAGTAATATTTTGCTGCAGACCATATTAAATTTAGAGTACAATTTCATTTTAAAGTTAATTTTATTATGATATATTTTATTCATTTGTGTTTTGATTTTAATGTCTATCTTATTTTGTCAAGAACTTTGAATTATGTGTGAACAAAGTGTGCTCTTTATATAATTCTGCCTTAAACTTGGAACTAAGCTTGGACTAGACCAGGATTAAACTAGGATTAGAACAGAATTTAACAAAGTCTATATCAAGATTAAACTCGGCTCAAACCACAAAAAGTATAAGTTAGTAGGCCTTCTGTTTTAAGACTTCTGTTACATTCATCAAGTTTCGTGCCCATAGCTACTATCTATGCCTCCTGATTCTTCTGTGTTTTGGTGGATTTTGTGTGGATAAAGACAGAAAACTGATTCATGGACACAAAACACAGGTGGGCTATGCAAATAAAATGTTGCATTGTTTTAAAATGTCTTCATGCTTAATTCATGCTGGGTGCTGTGTGAGGAATAACCACTAATTACCCGATGAGCAAACACACCAACAGCTGATTATAGCATTTCTATTTACTCCGCAGTAATTACAGCTGAATAAACACGACTGGTTTTACCCAAATTACAACCAAAAAGACCAATAAAGACGTGAGCACCATGAAGTAGTACTTGGTGTTGGAAATTTACTTTTTTTAGTAAATTGCACAGCTCCACTTTGAGACCTATTGCAATATTTAAAGGTAGGGCAATGAATAATAATTTTTCACTTTTAGTATTTTAGTAAGTATTTCTGAAACATCTCCTCTTTTAGCCACGAAGCTCCATGCGCCACAATTAAAGTGTTTTGCACATAGATACATTTACAGAGCCACTAAAAATCAGATAACTACAATAATCAGATCAGATTTTTGGTGTGATTTTACATGCACAAAAGAATTCTGACCATCAAAAACATCTAGTGACATGGATCAGTTAATCATTGATCTAGTTTTTGGAAGATTGGGGTTAGAATTGTTTTCTTTTTTTTCTTCAAAAATCAGACAGAACTCATATTATTCACATCAAATGCAATTGCATACGTACCATTTAAAAAAATCTGATAACTCCAGAAATCCAAGTCAATAACATATATTCTCATTGTACACATCTGCATCGCTCATGGCATGTACAAATGAAGCTGCATTGATTCTTGGAATGGCCGTGCGGTTTCCATATTCACAGGCCAACAATGTGGAGCAAAAGAAGTGTACAGGTCAGTGCACATATAGACCAACAACACTATGACGCTTATATAAAGCAGCTGAACTGACCTCAAAGTGCCTTATGTTTCCACATAAAGCTCAGATAATGCACAAGAGAGAGGCTGAAGTGAAATGTGCTAAATGTGGAGGAATCCTTTAAAGTAGTAATGTGGAGGATGTGACAAATGTAACTGTCACATATAAAGTGCAGCAATTAGAGGCAGCACCCGGAGCATATGCAAGCACACAGCACTTGCATTTTAGAATAACTTTTCTAAAGACTAAAAGGAAAAATATCCACAATATGAACAAAAATGAATGCTTTTAATGACCACTGGTATCTATCTCTCACAAGGTAATGTGAGTGTGCCTGTACAATTAAACACATTTTAATCAAGATTGAGATTCAATCATCTCTAACTGTCAGTGATTTTTTTTTTATTTGTTTAGTCGAAAATTGTAATTAGTCAAGTTTTTTTGTTTTTGTTCTTCTGTCATCAGCCATCTATAAGTTCAAGGGTAAATTCCACTGAGCCATAAAACGCTTACATTGTATCAAACGCTGCACAAGAGCCTACAAAAACACCCATTTCTGTTCATCTGAAAATGCTAGAATCACTTGTAACAGTGCAAGATACAAACACTTTGTAACTGCCCTTGTCCTCTGAGAATGTGAACATTAGCCAAAGATCTTAACTTTCATATACAGCCAATCATTTTGTGCACATACATCGCAATCATAAAATTTACTGATCATTCAAAACCGGTGAGTGTTTTTGGAATTGTTTTTGGAAGTGCATCAAAAGCTCTCGATCTGCTTATGTAGAAAGCTCTGTACGAAACATAAAGCTCCTCTGATGTTTTCCTCGCAGCTGGTCCATGCATCTGTAAGCGATCCGACTAACTATCTTTGCTTGTGAGCGCTAAGATTGTTCAACTTCCCTGAAAAATACAGACACAAAAGCCGTTTCCCTCTCGCCCCTGTAGCTCCCTCCAATTCTGTCTGACAGCCCCACACCTGTTACTGCAGTCTCCGGGGACCGCGATGGCGAGAAATTGAGGAAAAGTGCCACAAAAAAGGAGAAGAAATTTTGAAGGAACGTGTCGCCTGAGAGGAGACACAGTTAGACATACCTTCACATGGACCATACTTCATCGCAAACACGCCAGTGCACTGAATATCCTTGCTTTTTTTCTACGCTCCCTCCTGGACAAAAACAAGCCTGGTAGTTCCTGGGTGGAAAACTCATCTATCCTGCGTTGGGGACTGCAAGAAAGACTACAAGTGTCATTTGAGCTGGCTCCAAGTCTCTACGTCTCTCTCACTCTCTCTCTCCTTTGGGGCACACACACACACAGAGAGTTCAACCAGGCACAAAAGTCGCCATGGCAACGCTGCATTTAGAGCCCCGTGGCATTATGTATGCAACGTTGCATCACAATGGGCCCTCCCACCACACCGGGCCAACACTGCCAAAAAAGCCCGCTGCTCTCTCACCTCTCCCCTCACTCACTCACTTGCTTGCCCGCTCACTCTCTGTCCAGGCCATCTGCACCCCTCCCCCTTCCTCCCTGCTGATGCACCAGTAAGGAGACGGTGGGGTAAGGGAAGAAAAGATGCTCTCAAGAGTTTCAGGCTAGCAGGCATTCCTATACATAGATATAAAGCTATGTGTAACTGCTACTATTGAACTACTGCTAAATAAATAAATACGCTCAGTGATTTACAACTTGATTTTGCATATCAGCAATCAAATGACCTTTCCAATTTCTATATAGTGAGGTGAGACCAAATCGTTGTTTTGCAAGTCTCAAGTAAGTCTCAAGTCTTTGACATCAAGTCCGAGTCAAGTCCCAAGTCAAAGACAGGCAAGTCCAGGT